AGTTTTTCGTCCCTTTGCACTCCGACGACGATATTTTTTCCTCCCGGATGTTACATGTTTCGAAATAAACTCGTCGCTGGCGAAGTTACACTTCTCTTAAAAATTTCATATCACCTTTCACGCGAGATTTAAATCCGCTGATATTGCGGGTGAACCTGCCTCGCGTTTCTATCAGGTGGCAGTGAAAAAAGAAAACGGAGGAAAAGAAGACGAAACTCAAAATATCACGTCATAGCTCGTAGCTCGCGTGTAACATATCCTTTATTACATTTAGACGGAAATGCTACGTGTGCCCGCCATTTCCGTATGCGGTCGCACGATCGAGGCGGAAGGCATGTGCGCGCGATTTGTTCGTCTCGCGACTCCATTGGTTCTCCTTTCTTTTTTTCTTCCTTTTCTTTATTTCGTTGGCCCTGGCTGCCGAGTCAAAGGCTTGGCTTTGCCGCGAGGTGGCGCCAAATTGAGTTTTAACCAATCGAAGGAAGATCCACGGGAAAAAGGAGACGACGCGGAAAGGAAGGGCGAGCAGGAGAAGAGGCAGAAGATTGAATAGGGAATGCGTCTTCGGGCCCGCTGATTTATCAGACTACATATAATTTAGTTGGCCAAGAACGCTCCGGTTCCGCCTTTTGCAACCGCTCGGGGGGGGTTCGCGATCATCCAATTTCACGGTGGCTGTAATTTTTTCCCTACGCTACGCGGACTCGAGACAATTATGACGTTTTATATGCATGCGTCTGGCTAGCAGCGTTAGAAATATCTGCTGTTGCAGGTAATTTTCTTATAGCGCAGGCGTCCCAACTTACGAGACGTTCAACTCCGTTTTGTCAAAATCCTACGTCTTTTTCTTCAATTAATAATATCCTCACTTTCGTAGATGCATCGAATCGATCTTCCTCGACAGTTTTGTACGAACATGCAGCGATGAGCACAACTGTACCAATGACGATGAAAAATTGTCGATAATTTAAATCGATATAACATTGTAAAGAAAGATCATTCACTTTAAAACGAGCTTCTACTTTTACAATTGCGAGTTCGTTTCTTTCAAAGATGATTGCACATCGTGTAACGAGTAGGAAAATAAGAATATCTTTTTCGTAATGATGAAAATTATAAAAATTCAAACTCATAAAAGTTAAAACATTGAAACAATCAACCATCATTTTGACGATTGAAATCTCTCCTTTTGTTCTAGGATTTTTTTCACTTCATTGAAAACTGAATATTAAGTTCAAGAAAACCTAACCATTTCGTCGTGTGATCCTAATATTCAAAGTTCAATAAAATGGTAAAGAATAAAAGTGACATAAGGAGTTTTAAGGGCTCGTTATAACGGAATAATTTCAATCTTCAAGACTACAGTGGATCTGGTAATAATTTCTTCAGGCGTTTGAATTTTTACAATTTTCGAGAAGAATTATTCTCGCTTCTCAATTCGATTTAAAATTATCTTCATATTCTGACACATAGGAAAACAAATTTAAGACTAGTAGAAGTTTCAAGATAGTTTCATGTCTTAATATGAAACTAAGTGGATCGTGACACGATCTTCTACGAAGTTACATCAGAATTATCGATAATTTTACATTGTTACTTACGCCCTTCGTTGTATGTATTTTTTTTAAGATTTAGTGAAACATCAGTAGCAAAAGTCAGACATTTTACGCGTTCTGTAAATTCAGTATTATTTGACTGTTGCAAGATAACACATATCTAAAACATTCGAACATGTATCGCTCCAGAAAAAAGAAAAAGAAAGAAGAGGACTCACGTTTTAGAAATTCAAGTTTCGATTCGAGTCGATTGTTCGTCGAACGTTACATTAAGATGGCGGATGGTTCGGTCATGTTCGAGGAATCCAAGCTTATCTCACGGCGCCAAACTGTTTACTCGTCATTATTTCCACGCGGAAAGAAACGAATTACTTCTCGACGATCGAGCACACCGCGTTTCATTATCCTTCTCTTGTCTTTTTGCTTCGTTAGCCAGAAGTAAGAGAATCTCCCGCGCGAGATAAAAAAGAGTGGGTAGCTAAATATCCAGTCCACCCCGGTGCAGATTTTTCTATTTTCAATAATATTTGCGGAATCAAGTATCTCATCGTAAATTTATTTCTCATCGTTATTTATCCACATCTTCCAGTGCATAAATTTAACTTGCAGCTCAACGATGTTACACGTTGCATGTAAATTTATTTCCAGGTAACATGTAAATTTATTTCTGTAATTCCATCGTTCGCACGCCGTGCTGTTTTCTTCTTTCACGGCCGGTCGATCGATTTAATTCCGCCTTTGCGGCCTCGATTTAACTGCCTGTTTCCGAGATTTAAATGGAAAAATCGGCTGGCTCCACTTTCTCTCCGGTTTGCGAGTTGCCAACCTTCTTGTCAGAAGCGCGGTCTCGGCGAAAACCGGTAGAATTGATCCGCGAATCTGTTTCATCTGCATCGTGCACACATAATATCCGAGCCGCTGCGTTATTGGATAAATCGTTAATTAGCTGTTCGTTCGGTCGGGATGATCAAGTCCGAGTTTCTCAACCGTTCTCTCTCTCTCTCTCTCTCTCTCTCTCTCTTTTTTTTATCAGGACGATTGTTTCGCCGTGGTGTGGTATCGTTCTCGCGTTATCTTTATTGCATGATTGGCCGTCGAACGATTTAATTCCGCCTGGCGATAGCCAATTGACCGAAACAGTGGAAAACACGAGGCAGAGGCGTCGTCACGCGCGCATCGTCACGCGTGCCACAGGATTTCATTCGGACGGCGAGTCGTCAAACGAATGTGCAACTTTTTATGACGTGCAATTCAATCCCCGGCTGTGATC